GGACCGGCCGTCACTAAGCGTGACCAATCGCCACTAGACCAACAAAGGGACACATACGAGATTTAGGAGATGCCAAAACGACGTCTTCAAGAAGAGAAGCGACGGAAATCCGCCGCTGCCGTCCGTTGGGACTCAAAGGAGACAAGACCGGGCTTTCGCCCGGTAATCACCCTTGAGGGGTGAGACAGCACGACAACGCCCTCAGGAGGGGGAACATCGTTGTCGGTCCGGCCAAGGCCGGACTGGGTTTTCACCCGCTGCTCACCACCTGCGAATCCACGGCTGACGCACCGAGGCTCCACCACCACACAAGCTCTGCCGACATGTGGGACCCCTGCACCAGCGTCCCCCGCCGGTCAGCCTTCGTGCGCCGAAGACCGCGCCACACCCACCGGCAACTCCTTCTCACATCTAGGTTGTCTCCTCCACTGCCGGCCGCGCCTCTCGCGCCAATCCGGCCTTCCTCCATCGGCCGCGCCTCTCGCGCCAAGCCGGCCTCCATCTCCGCCGCCCACGTCTCTCGCGCCGAGCCGGCCTCCGTTGCCATCGGCTGCGCTTCTCTGCGCCAAGCCTGTCTCCGACCCCTCCACCAAACGATGCCACGACGGTCAGATGGAGCCGTCTCCCACGCCCTCGGGTAGCCGTCCGAGGCCGTCATGCCTCTGGTGACCGCAGTCACGGTCACCACCACCACAGCTGCTGCTGCCGAACGCCCAGCCACCTCGCCGTTGCCATCCTCACCTCGCACCCGACTCCTTCCCCGCCGCCGATGTCGCCACCGCCTCCACAGTCACGACCACCGTCGCCGCTGCCACTGACGCTAGCCATCGCCTCCGCAGACCGCCGCCTTGTGAAAATTGCATCACCATAGTCAGGATGAGAGAAACGCGAGAATCGAGCTTTGCTCACGAGCCTGGCCCGCTCGATGCAACGCGTTTGCATCCGCGCAAGCAGTGCTGCACCCGCGGCTACAGCTCGTTGGTTGGGGTAACCAGGGCCGTACCTACGAATTCGAGGCCCCGGTGTGAAACACAATTTAACGCTAATATAAGTAGGAAAGACACAAAAATAAATTAGCAGTGGAGCTCTATCTCAGTGAGAAGAAAATTTTAAATAAATGTTAGAAAAATATTATGTTATGATGTAGTAATTTATTTTTATTATATGGAAAAATGGAATCTTTAATGCTTAGAACGCATGTTCATATCATCGTCATGAGCTATAGCTCTTTGAGTTAGCCATGATTGCCATCGAACACTTATCGGAGCTAAAAAAAATAAGCCTGTTCTAGCCAATGAACAAATGAGTAAAAGTGAAACTTTATAAAAATGGAACAAGAGGCCTTCAAATATATTGGAACGCATTGGCGTAGATTAAAGAATAAAAAAATTAGGGCCCCTAAATTTTGGGGTGTTCGGTCGCTCATTTTGCACACCCTCATCGACGGCCTTGGGGGTAACCACTCCACCCCAAGAACCCTCTCTCATTTGTCCTCCTCGTTGCTACTGCTATCCTCCGCCTCTTCTCCTCCTCGGGCTCGGGTGGCTAGAGGTATCAGTGAGGCTCGTCCTCTTCTCCTCCTTGCGCTCGGCCAAGTAGACGCGGCAACAAGCGACCAAGCGGCGTGGAGCTCGCTGCCGGATAGATCTGGCAGGAGGAGCACCCAGAGGACAGCGGCTGCAATTGCATATGTGAAAATCACACGGCCCGACGGTCTTTACCACTGCCGCCACCTTTGTTGTAGTCCGAGTCATTGCCAAGATCCTCTCTCCCTTCATCAGCAGCTGGATCTGGCCACCAATGACAGTGTCACAGCCTGAATTTTCGTTTCGGATTTATAAATTATTAATAGAATTTATATTAAATGTTCATTAAAATACAAGTGAAGTTAAATGTGGGAAATAAAATTTCCTAAATATAAAGCATGGCTGGATTTAATTTTTATTAAATTCTCCATGATTAATTATACTATCTGGATTTTTTTCAGATTTTTTAGAGCTTAAATCCTAATTGTAATAATACAAAGAAGAGTTCAGCAATTATTTAAATATTAAATTAATCATTAAATGAGCTGGTTTCATTTTTTTAAGTACTTTGAGTGCCCAATATTTTCAGGATTTTTCTTGAAATTATTTGAGCATCGGAAGTATTTTTAACAATTCAAAGATCATTTCAGTGATTAACTAGCTGGTTGGCCCGCGCAATTGCAAGGCTAGCACCCAAACAAAATCATATATTCTTTTAGTATGATTTTACTTAAAATTTATTAAATAGCTATCTCATTGTCTTAAGACTTTGAATGACCAAATCTTATCATCCTCGTGTTTCTAGTTATATAGTTTTTAAAAGTCACACCAGTTGCTACCCCTTATGTCATCTTCTTCTTTATTTGCTTACTCGATCTATCACTATTTCTATTCATTCTTCTTGGAACCTTTAAAAATTGGATTTTATAGTTTTTAGAGTTTATTGTCATGCTGGGTTTCGTTTTTGTAATTTCTAGATGTCCCGTTGAACATTGCCATTATACTCCTCTACGGTCTGTTCACTGTCTCTTCTTTTTATTGTCATTGAGATTTTAAAAATCAAAGATTATTATCATTTGGGTTCATTTTTACTTTCTAAAAGTCCCGCCAAATTGTCAGCAGCTTTGCCATTGTACTCCTCTACGGCTCGCCCACTGCCTCCCTTCTTTATTGTCATTAAGATTTTAAAATTGAACGTGATTATCATTGTTTTTTTCTTTTACTTTTTAAAAGTTCTAAACCTTTAAAAATTGGACTTGTAGTTTTATTTTTTATAATTTTTAGAAGTCCCATCAAACGATGCCACTATGTCCCTCTACAGCTCGTCTCATGCCTACCTTTTATTGTCATTGTGATTCTAAAAATTGAGCATAACTATCGTTGTAATTCATTTTTTATTTTCTAGAAGTCCCATCAACCGTCGGTGGCTCTGCAACTATACTCTTATACACCCCGCCCGCTGCTTCTCCTTTTTATTATCACTGAGATTTTAAAAATCGAATATGATTATAAATGGTTTTTTTAATTTTCTAGAAGTCCCAGCAACCGTCTTACTTATTTGCTTTACGGCATGCCTGACGTCCCTCCTTTTAATCGTCATTAGGATTCTATTTAGTGTTTTATTAACAATTTTTATATATCGTATCAACCGCCACCACTTTACTCCTTTATAGGCCTGTTACTTAATTTTATCTCATCATGTGTTTTATATGGTATTTTCTTTCAATAGTCTTTATTTTTATCACAAAGTTTAGTTATTTATAAATTGTATTCCTAATTGAAATCTTATTTTTCTTTTTTCTAATTTCAGAATTTATTTTTTTAAAAAAGTTAATACCCTATTGTGTTCTTTTAATGTTTTTGTTTTTTATTTTCAATTTCAGTTGTTTCAAAATTATATTCCTACTTGAACTCTCTTTTATTTTTTCAAATTTTGGATATTATTTTATTTTTTATTCAAAATTTTAATTAATCTCGTATTGGGTTCTTATATGGATTCTTATTTCAATATTGCTTATTTTTAATTCCGAATTTCAGCTAATTTTAAATTGTATTCCTACTTGCACTCTTCTTTTATTTTCTTGTTCTAATTTCGGATTTTTTTATTCTGAATTTTAATTAATCTCGTATTTGGTTCTTATATGTACTCTTCTTTTAATATTCCTTATTTTTAATTCCGCATTTCAGCTATTTTTAAATTGTATTTCTACTTAGACTCTCCTTTCCTTTTCTAATTTTGGATTTTATTTTATTTTTATTTTGAATTTTGATTAATCTCGTATTGGGTTTTTATATAGAAATTTCTTTCAATATTGCTTATTTTTAATTCCGAATTTCAGTTATTTTTAAATTGTATTTCTACTTGGACTCTCCTTTCCTTTTCAAGTTTTGGATTTTATTTTATTTTTATTTCGAATTATGATTAATCTCGTATTGGGTTCTTATATGGAAACTTCTTTTAATATTGCTTATTTTTAATTCCGAATTTCCGATATTTTTAAATCATATTTTTACTTGGACTCTCTTTTTCTTTTTTTTTTCTTTTTCTCTGATTAATGTGGTAATTTCTAGCCCCACAGTGAACGCGGTGCCTTCTTTCAAAACTGTTTTAATAATATAATTTTAAAAAAGTTAATACCCTATTGTGTTTTTTTAATGTTTTTATTTTTTATTTTCAATTTCAGTTGTTTCAAAATTATATTCCTACTTAAACTCTCTTTTAATTTTTCAAAATTTTGATATTATATTATTTTTTATTCAAAATTTTAATTAATCTCGTATTGGATTATTATATGGATTCTTCTTTCAATATTGCTTATTTTTAATTCCGAATTTCAGCTAATTTTAAATTGTATTCCTACTTGAACTCTTCTTTTATTTTCTTGTTCTAATTTCGGATTTTTTTTATTCTGAATTTTAATTAATCTCATATTTGGTTCTTATATGTACTCTTCTTTTAATATTCCTTATTTTTAATTCTGCATTTCAGCTATTTTTAAATTGTATTTCTACTTAGACTCTCCTTTCCTTTTCTAATTTTGGATTTTATTTTATTTTTATTTTGAATTTTGATTAATCTCGTATTGGGTTTTTATATAGAAACTTCTTTCAATATTGCCTATTTTTAATTCCGAATTTCAGTTATTTTTAAATCGTATTTCTACTTGGACTCTCCTTTCCTTTTCTAGTTTTGGATTTTATTTTATTTTTATTTTGAATTATGATTAATCTCGTATTGGGTTCTTATATGGAAACTTCTTTTAATATTGCTTATTTTTAATTCCGAATTTCCGATATTTTTAAATCGTATTTTTACTTGGACTCTCCTTTTCTTTTTTTTTCTTTTTCTCCGATTAATGTGGGATTTTCTAGCCCCCACAGTGAACGTGGTGTCTTATTTCAAAGCTGTTTTAATAATAGATAGATAGATAGATAGATTTAAAAGAAAAAGAAGTTCTTTTCCTCTTCCTAGTATTGGGCCGAATTTGGCCCATTCCCTTTTCTTTCCTCCTCAGCCTACAGCCCGTGCTGCTCCCTCAGCCGAAGTCTGTTTTTGCTCCCTCGCTTCAGTGCATCTTCAACCTCCAGCCGCCTCTGTCCCGTGCGCATGCACTGGCGCCTCCTCCTTCCAAATCCGGCCTCCCCGTTACTCCTCATTCCAAATTAGTTGCGGGAATGGAATCCTCTCAATCTCCTCTACAAAATCCCCAAGAAATCCCCAAAAGTTTTTATGGAAATCCTTTCCGATTTCGCGGTTCAACCTTTCCTTTTCCCGGCGAGGATCCTAAACTTTCCCAAGTTTTTCCCGTCGATGTGGGCTCGATCCTGGGCTCCCATGGCTATATATAGAGCCCCCTCCAGCTCCTCTTTCGGCCGCCACCTCTCCCTCTCTCCGCCGTCGCCGGAAACCTTCTCCCCGCGAGCGCCTTCTCTCTCCGTCGCCGGTAGCCGCTCCAGCCGCCGTGCGCTGCCGCCTCGGTCGTCGCCGCTCTGCGCCGCCACCTCTCTTGGCTCCGCAAATCCCAGCCGCTGGTTATTTTGTGCCAAATCCCACCGGAGGTAGCCCGTCGTCGTGAACCGGAGCGCCGCCGTCGTCGCTGTGCCTCCAGCCGCACGTTCGTCGTCATCCGTCGTCGCCTTCGGTCGCCGTCGACTCCATTGGGTTCGCAGGAACAAGGTGAAGCCCGGCCACTGGTTTTTCTTCATCGAGGAACGCTGAAACGCCGCCGCCATCGCTGACCCGACCCCGTCACCGCCTCTACCTCGCTGCCGGCCGTCTGCCGTCGTCATCCATCGTCACGCCACCCCTCAGTGAGCTTTCCTCTCTCCCACGTCGTTCACCGGTGTAGTTTATCACTAGGGTCTTAATCCCATCTAATCTAATCTTGTTTGGCCCTAGCGTCGTCATCGTCTCCGTGTGTTGTCGTCGGACCGTTGTCGTGGCCTCTTCTTCTCCCGTCGCCACCGTTTCCTGGTGAGGCCTTCTCTCCGATTCCTAGGGTAGATGTTTGTGTAAGCCACATGTGTGTCGTTGTCGCTGTGCCGTTATCCTAACCCTAGCCGCGTGCCTCCGCCGAGCCGCCGCCGCCTAGCTGAGCAAAGTCGCTTTACTGTCGCTGTGTCGCAGCTGTGTGCCGCTTTAACCTAGCTACCGCTTTAGCCCGTTGCTCGGTAGTCGAGTTGTCTAGCCGTAGGTGCAACCCTAGGTTTCAACCGGCCTATCATTTGCCGTATCGGGGCTTTACCGTGAATCGTGTCTAGCCCACCGGTTTTGTCGCAGCCGTTGTTGAGTCGTTCGTTCGTTCGTTCGAACAAGGTGTTCCCCATGTTCGTTCGTTCATCCGTGTTGAGTGGTCCTTTAGTTCAGAGCCGCCGGTTCTGTTTGCCGGTTTCGGTTGATCATTTGGGTGATCCTGTGTCACGTAAAATTGACTCGTTGAGTTTGTATGTCGTGAGGCTCGCTTTCCAGATCAATCCAAGTCATCCGATCTTGGTCGACTCGGTCAAGATTAATCTCAGCCGTCCAAAATCGATATAAATCCGTTCTCTCTTTTCAGTGGCATATTATTTCTGTTTAATATATGTCATCTACCAAATATAATCTAATCTATTTCTAGAGGATGTTTCCAATCTTTTATCTTAGTTATAAATTATTTGTAAATCGTTTAATTAATTTGGAATAGTGTTTTCTTTAATAGATTTAATTGGAATTAAATATTGTAAAATTCATAATTAATTCATATGAAACCGGAATGAGGCCGTTCAAGTCTCATAATTCATCTTAAATTATGATCTACTTGTTTATTTACTTTATATGTACTGTTTATTTGTTTTTTATTAGTCTTTTTCCTTGTTTTGCGTGTTAACTTGTCGTTTCCGTCGTTTCGAAGGATCGTGAGTGCGTCGGAAGTTTTCAAGAAGACTTATTGAAGACCCATTGTTGCAAGTCACACAGATCCCAAACACAAATCCTTTGAACATGTTGATTCTCTATTTATTTTAAATGTGTATTTATTTTCGAATGTCACCGGGTGGTGTGAACTTATTCCTTTGTTATGGCCAATTTGCATTGATTACTCTTTCTTTTTTTTTCGGGGAATGATTACCGTATTTCTTGATTACCTTGGGTTATAATTTGACTAGTTGGATTTATATATTGGTTCAACTGTTTTAGATATAATTGCTTAGCCATGCTTAGAAACATTAGCACACGATTGGGATAACTAATGATTCACTATTACTTAATGATGGATATTTAATGGTAGCTCACGATGGTTAATCGTGATTGATTAATTAATTAATTTGCCAACTAATTAAAACTTGATAATGGTGGGTTGTGAGCACATGGTTTTGATGGTCGTGCTCATGACAATTAAGGACAGGTTCACGAGTTTCGGTTGTGAAACATTAACCGTGCCAACCACAAGCTAGCATGGGCAACGGCTTTATTTTTTGTATAGCATGGTTCATTGCGGGGCACCAGACTGAGAAGTGGTGGAGATAAGCCCACGGGGATCGTTGGGGAGTCCATGCCTTGTTTTATAAGGGGGTGATTATGATCCAGGAACGACGCATTGCTTTGAGTTGTGTTGTGCGAAGGGTACTGTCACGATTTCCCCCTTTGCAGTGCCATGGTGGTACTTCGGAGCATGGTAACATGTGTGGAATCATGTCTTGTGGGTACAGTGGTACACATCTGGCCAGAGTAAAACTATTCGAATAGCCGTGCCCGCGGTTATGGGCAGGTCTAACAATGTCTTTCGTGATTAGTCTCACACTTCTCACCATAATAAATGATGCTATAACTGGTAATAATTTGATTAGCTCCTGGTTTGGAATGGTACATTCCTGGTTTGGAGATAGATCTGTACAGCCGGGTATGGTTGTTCAGGTTTGGTTGGGCCTGTGCAGCATGGGTGTGCTGTTCAGTGTTGATTAATATTGATGATTAATTACTTTACTGGTTTACAATTCTCAAATGTTTGCTAAATGCTGCTTTTGCAAATGAGCCCTATATTATGCCATTCTTTGGTATTCTTGTGTACTTGCATACTTACTGTGTGGCTTGCGGAGTATTCCATGTAATCATCTTGTAATAATCAATCAAACCTCAGTTGAAGAGAAGTCCCAAAGGAGAAGACGTTTGGCTTATACCCCAGTTGAGCTGCCTGTGGGAGTGGAGCCGGAGTTTCGCTAGATCGTTTATCCGTTGCTGTTTTCTCTTTTCTTTTGTAAGTATGTAACGTTACTATTATGATGAATCTGTATATTAAATTGTCAGTTTGTGTACCTCGGCTGATTTCTGGACGAGGATTTTATGCATAAATAAGTTAAAAATTACTAGTGAATTTCTAGGTGTGACAAACAGCAAGCAGCAGAGCAGTGGAGGGATGGATGGAGCAGTGAAGCAACGGAGGGGATGGAGCGGCATGGCTGGGGCCTGGGGATGGGGATAGAGGGGATGTGGAAGAAGATGGCAGCACGGTAGACGGGAAGGTCGCCGACCGGCGTCAATGGCGATGGGGATCGATGATGACATCCACGAAAATATTTCTTTTTCTTTTTCTTTTTTGTCCTAACCTGTTAGCATGTACGTGTATAAAGGTGATTAATGAAAGAGTAATCATGTGATTAATTTAGCCAGTTTTTCCCCACATTTAGACGTGTAAAACGATTTTATAAAATTTAGTCAATTGAACATTTTTTTTTTGAAATAGATCAAATTTTCATTGACCCGGCTTTGGAAGAAAGCCCAAACAGTATACAGAGTCTTATACAAACACAGAAAACAAAGCTACGAAACAAAAGACTTAAAAAAAAAGTCGGCACATAACACTGGTTCTCTCAGAAGCATTCCATACCTTGATAACACCTCACATTCCCCCAGGCACTAACCCCTGGTACAAAAGACAGCAAAAAACTGAAGCCAAAAGTAGACTCAAATTGTCACAGGAAGACGACATGGCTTCAATTGTTGCAGTTTGGCCATCAGCAGCTCACACCATCCTTTCATAGTAGCTTGATCTCCTTCCTTTAGCATGATACACCACTGCTGAATAAAAGACAAAGCTTTATAAGTGATTTGCAAAGGAGACTTTGCCAAAATATTTGAGAAAACCCAGTCATTCCTAATTAGCCAAAGTGCCCAGCACACACTAGCAAAGAGCATCACCCACACCCCCTGGACATTTTTTCTTTTCATTAACCCCAAACAATCTCTTATATTCATAGGACTAATGGTTAGACCCAAAACATCTCTCACCACACACCAGTAAAGACAACAAGAAGACATTTAAACAAGATATGGTTAGTAGATTCAATCTTGCCACACAGTTTACAGAATTCATCCCCTCCCTGCCATTTTCTCTTAATCAACTGGGATGCACAAGGAAGCCTGCCTCTGTCTGCCATATAAAGAAAATCTTTGATTTTTAAAGGAATTTTACTTCTCCAAATCTTCATCTTTTCAACATCTCTTATACCCCAAAAGTAATCACCCTATACATAGATCTAGCTGAGAAGATCTTTTTGTTATTGTATGGCCATATTAAAATATCTTTGCCCTCCCCTAGGGCATGTTTATTCAATAGATTTCTTAAATCCTTCAGATCTGCCTCCCTGGTAGTGTCCAAATTTCTCCTAAAATTAGAACAAAGCCCCAGGATTTACAGAAAATAATGGAGTTTTAAAATTCCAAGGGCGTATATGTGTTTCAGATAAAAAGGAAATCAAGGATAAAATATTAGAAGAAGCACATGATTCTTTATTTTCTATCCACCCTGGGAGTACAAAAATGTATCAGGATTTGAAGAAAATATTTTGGTGGTCTAATATGAAGAAAGAAATTGCAGAATATGTCAATTTATGTGAAGTATGTCAAAAGGTAAAAGCAGATCATTAAAGACCAGTAGGATTAATGCAACCTTTGCCCCTGCCTGAATGAAAATGGGATGAAATTGGAATGGATTTTATTATAGGTCTACCAAAGACTAAAGGAGGTTATGATGCTATATGGGTTATAGTTGACAGATTAACTAAGGTAGCATATTTCTTGCCAGTTAAGCAAACATATGATGGAAACAAGCTTGCTGAGTTGTACCTCACAAGGATTGTTATATTGCATGGAGTACAAAAAGAATTGTCTCTGATAGAGGAACCCAATTTACATCAAGATTTTGGAGGAGTTTTCATGAAGCTATGGGTACAAAGTTGGGATTCAGCTCAGCATATCATCCACAAACTGGGGACAGACTGAGAGTTAATCAAATACTTGAAGACATGCTGAGAGTATGTGTTTTGGTTTATGGCCTAGTTTGGGAAATTTGTTTGCCATTCGCCCAATTTTCTTACAATAATAGTTATCAGTCAAGTCTTGGGATGGCACCATTTGAAGTCTTGGGATGGCACCATTTGAAGCTTTATATGGTAGAAAATGTAGGACACCACTTAATTGGACTAAAACAGGAGAAGGACAGTTGATTGGTCCACAAATTGCACATGATGCTGAAGCACATGTTAGGATTATTCGAGAAAAACTCAAAACAACACAGAATCGACAAAAGAATTACAACAATAATCAAAGAAGAGACTTAAGTTTTGAAGTTGGAGATTTTGTTTATTTAAAGGTTATGCCACTTAAAGGAGTTCAAAGATTTCAAATGAAAGGAAAATTAGCACCTCGATATATTGGACCTTATAGAATTGTGCAAAGAAGAGGTGAAGTATCATATCAGTTGCAACTACCAGCAGAATTAACCGGAATTCATCCTGTTTTTCATGTCTCACAGCTCAAGAAATGCTTAAGAAAACCAACAGAACAAGTACCTCTGGATGACATTGCTTTACAGACGGACATAACATATGAAGAAGAACCTGAGAAAATATTGGAGGTCACTGAAAGGAGGTTAAGAAATAGAGGAATTGAATTTTGCAAAGTACAGTGGAAAAATCACTCAGAAGATGAGGCAACCTAGGAAAGAAAGTCTGAGCTGGAAAAGAAATATCCGCACCTATTTGCTAACTGGTAAATCTCGAGGACGAGATTCCTTTAAGGGGGGTAGAACTGTAACAGCCCTAAAATTTGACAACTTTTTAAAACCAATTTAGTTTGCTTTGATTCTCTAAAAATATGACCGTCGAGTTAGACATTTATTTAAAATATTATTTTCCATGCTTATTTTTTTATGTTTCTTTTCTCGTTTAATTTTGTCGCAAAGTGCATCTTACACTTCAAATAACTCCTTTGTATCCAAATTTAATTCTATCCCGAATGTCGGACTATCTAAATTCCGCATCAATTCAAATCCTATCTATTTTAATCTTCCTCATGTTTTTCTTTTCTCTGTTTCCACCTTAATTTTCTTTTTCCCTATATTTTTTCCCTTTCTCTGTTTTCTTTCTTTCGTCTCCTCTACTCGGCTAGGCCGAGCCAGGGCCTGTGTCACCCCGTGTTGTCACGCGCCGATCCCGCACCATGCTCGCGCACGCTCACGCCCAGCTCGTGCCAGCCCGCGTATGCCACACGCTCGCACGCGCGCACACGAGGACGAACGACGAACGAATGCCCAGATGACACCTCCAGCTTCCCGCCTCCGTAACTCCTTCGTCCCTCAACTAGAAGGCTCAAGACCGGAGGCAAAAGAACCGAAATTTCGACCTCTTTCACCTCCTCAAATCCGCCCCAACTCCCACTGCCTCAATCGTCGTCACCGGAGGAAAAATCCCCAAAACCCTAATTTTGCGCCATTGATTGAGCTCCAAAATTCGTCGCATACGTTGCAAATCTTCTGAAATTGAAGGTACAAATGGATTCTCCATGCCGAGTACTCCCTTTCCCCTCTCTTTCCCCTTCAAATCCATCGCCGGAACATCGCCGGCGCCGCCTCCCGACGTCGCCGCTCTGTTCGGCCGTCGCCAGCCGTACGGCGTGCCGCCGCTGCCGGCCGCCCCAGGCCGAGCCGCCGCCACCACCGCGCTCCCCTTGCTCCACTGATGCTCACCATGGCCGCCGCCCTTACCGGAGTTCGCCAGAATCACCGCCGCCATGGCCGCCGCCGCCTCCAGCTCCTAGCCGCCGTCGCCAGCCTCGCCGCCGCCATCCACGGGAACGGAGTCGCTGTATCCTGTAGATCGCAAAACCGGTGCCTCCTTGCCCAAAATCGGCCATCTCCACAATCGGCCAGGGTGTTGCCGGCCGTTCCGGTGCAGAGCGAGAGAGAAAAATCCTTTTTCTCTTTCTATCAAGTTAATAAATCATAAAAATTTACCATCCGTTTGACCTCGAAATCGAAATCCGAGACCTACTCCAAACTCCTAGAATTATTCCGAATCCATCCGTCTCAGTTTCGTTGCAATCCGAGCACCCGTTGTCGCGACCCTAATTTTAGCCCTAGGGTTTGCCGTTTACTGAAATTCCAAAAATCCCTAAAATTATTTCTTTAAATCCTTTTCACCCATTGTTGCACTTTGTGATACCATTTGTTTTGTTTATTTTTGTTTTTCTATTATTTATTGTGGTGATGATTGTTGCATAAATAGAAAACGCTGACGTTGGTCCGGTAGTCGAAACGAGTGAAATCTCCACGCCAGAAGGAGACGGTTTGTACGACTACATCAAGCCCGAAGGTTGCAAGACATGCACCCTCCCTTGAACAATTTAATCCCGGTAGATAGAGTTATTTTAGTAGCGTACTTGTCCTTTGGAGTACGATAGACTGCACAAATTCTTTTAAATTAATTATATTGCTATTATTGCATTATATTTTCAGTTGTTGTTATAAATACCTTAATGAGCCTTAAAGTCTAACAAGCTTAGGATAAAATTTGATAAACATTTAAACAAAATGTTAATTATTTAGCATGCTATCGATTTAATATGGATATTATTATCATTGCATATGAAAACATGCTTATGGAACTATTTATGGCTATATGCTAAGAATTGTTGACACCGCATATGAGCGGGTGGAACACATGATAGAGTTCATGTGTTTGGTTTCATGGACCTGTTTATGGTCATAATGGGTATATCGATATATTTATGGTTATTTCTTATTTAAAATTGATATAATAATTAACCCCCTTGTGTCAAGAAGAATGACATAGTTTCGCCCATCCACACAATCGATTTGTCGAACCTGGCCGTATATTGCTCCAATTGATTAAACTTCTGCATGCCTTTCGGTGTATTGGCCATTAGCTTTCAAGTGTGTGAAGCAAAGTGACATGTTTCATGTTTATATGATTTATATATGTGGGCTCGATGGGCCCCGAGAGTTCAGAACTGCCCTATGGGCCCATGAAGTTCTGGGCTGCCCATCGAGTAACGAACAATGATAAGTGGATGCGGAGGTAGGTTGGTACACACCTCGGACCGGATCACTCCGAGCAACATCCCGAGCATCCTTTAACTTACTGGTAGAAGGGAGAGATATATGGAGCAATATTACACCTTGTTACTTTTCAGCCTAGCCAGCTGTGGGTATCATGTGGGTAAAGCTGGGCAGGCACTGCAGAGTCGTTGAGTATTCGAATATGCCGTGCTCCCGGTTAATGGAGATGTGTCTATGGGTGATTCCAGATTATGGGCACAAGTTAAACTAAATGGCTATTAATTAATATGGTTAACTTATTTATTACT